AAAAAAATTCTAGATAAAAATAATTAAATGCAATTTTCTGGAAAAAAAATTATTCACATCACGGGTCAGAACTAGAAATAAAAGAATTACCAAAATTAATTTTGCAGAAAAGAATGGTAATATTTAAAAAATAAAGAAGATTACCCTTTTACATTACTAAAGAAAAGATAACTAAGGAAAAAAATCTGATGTGATCAGCACATAACCGACCGCAATGTGTATTTTCAAGTTAAGTGAAAGTGTTACAGAATATTATAAAAATGTCTGTTAAATACTTCTTTCCAATTTTTAGGACATTAGTAAGCTTATAGTTAACATACCTAGAAAAATATAAATTTGGCTCTTAGTAGAGTTTCGATTAGTGTTGCCCGAATTCCCTGAAATGCTCGCCAGCAACAACCAGAACTCAAATATCAAATTCCAAGAAATTCCATCAATTCGTTCCGTAGATATGGTGAAAAATGTAAAACAGGCCCGCTAAAAAGTGCAGTTGCCGAGGCCTTATATATCCCAAAAGTCGATTAATCCGTGCCATCGTCGAAATAAACTTACATATAAAATTTCATCAAAATCGGTTCAGCCGAACTTGGGATACACGCGTGCACACACAGACCGACAGGTTGCTAATAATAGTTTATTTACACTTCTCTACTATGAAGAAGTGCATTCCCACTGAAAACTCGATATGCAAAATTTGTTGCCATCACATAACCTACGTATTGTATACACAATACGGTCGGTAAAAATTAATCCTAGCAATAAACAATAGAATCGTTGAATAAGAGTAAAGGGGGCTAGATTTCATGAAGACCTTCATTTTTTAAAATTAAAATTAGCAAGTTATTAATTTGACTTATTTATCATTTTGCAGTCCCCGTGTTATTTTTGACACATAATATGTGCTTTGTTAAAGGTTGTTAATGTAAAATATTGTTCAGTTTCAACATTGAGAAAATTAAACCCGAAAAATTTTTCCAAATTATTAATTTTTAACGAATATTAAATAAAAATGTGCTTGTTGAGCAATTAATTTAACATTTTGATTATTCCAATCAGTCACGTGCCGAACCGAGCCTAAAATGTTCTTTATGTGAAACCTCAGCCTTGAAAAATCAATATTGATCGTGTAATTGGTCATTTTTGAAAAATTTTTAAACATCTATATGAAAACAGAAGATGAAATTATATTTTAGAATTAGATGATAATTAATATTTACAAACAATTTTGGAATTTTTTCTCAAATTTAAAACAACAAACACCTTTAACAGTTTAAAAATATTATTAATAAATAGCTATCATTTATTTTCATCCCAAAATAACTTAAAAACCCAAAGTAACTTAAAAAAAATTTTCATCCCAAAGTAACTTAAAAAAAAATTGCATAATTTTAGAGGCGTCACTAAAATATTTCAATAGAAAATTAGCTAAGATTGTTACTGGTTCTCATGTATTAAAATTATTGCATACAATTCGGGGATTCCAAAAATATGTGCCACATGCCTTAACTAGTAATTTAATTTTATAAAAGATCGTATAAATTTTAAGTAATTAAGGTACTTTTATACCTTAATTATTTAATATTTAACAATACTGTAATTACCTTAATTATTAACAATACTGTAAGGAAATTTATAGAATTTAGAAAACTATGAAGCTAAGTAGATACTTTCACTATTACACAAGTGTTTAATTTAGAGATTTTTCTGAAAAATTATTATTTTCATCTTCTTGATCTTACAATTATCACAATTAAGGAACAATATTGTTTTTTCCTAATATTTACTTTATTATGTTTTTGAGTTTTAATTATTAAAATGGCAAATCATCTATTAAGACCAATTAGAGTTATTTGATAAAACTTTCTACAACATGTGATCTATAAAATTTCTTTCAGAATAATTACAATTGTTTTAAGAAACCCAAAATAATAAAACATAACTAGTACGTCAGTAAACCTATTTTTACGAAAACATTGAACGCATAATAATAATTTTCTATGATTAAATTGCTAAAATGAATAATGAAATTTCAAATCTTCTAAATATGAAGTCATACATAATATTCTTCTAATATTTACTTTTATTTAAACAGACTCCATTTGAATAAATAAATTTAGAATTGGTTTGAATAAATATTTTTCCAAACGCGTTCTATTATTAAATTTTAATTAGACAATTATACAACCACATATAACTCAAATCAAAATGTCTAATCAACCACATTGAATCTACAATAAATAATTTTGTTATTAAAACTAGAAAATTTAATATTGTTAAAGTTTGTACATTTTTCAATTAAACTTGGTAATAAAAGTATTGGTAAGCAGTTATTTGCGTCAAGTAAATTTTACAATGCGCACTTTATAACATTACACTTTATGTTAAGGCAAAAAGATTCCGGCATTCATTTAATTCAATTCATTACAAATTTTCACTAATCTTAGTTTAGTTATGAATTGAATTAAATGAAAATTTTAATCTTAGGAATGATTTTCATCCTAATCAGAGTAGCCAATAATTTTCCTGTGATTCATATCAAATGATCTAATACTGTCACAAGTGTCCTAATTAAGTGACACTAATCCAGAATGTTCAGTGAATTTAGTACACATAATACTTTTAAAAATATTGAAGAAATTTTGTACAATTTTATGCATTTCATTTCACTTTTTAATTGAAGACTCATTTGATACGGATAAGTATTTGGAATTTAGTAATTAATAAGCCTGCATGATACGAACAATTTTAAAAAATAACTTTTAGTAAATTTTCAGTTATAGTCCAATGAATCATAATTTAGTAAGAAATTGTGAAAATAAATTTAAAATATAAAAGGAAATTTTAAAGATAGGCAAACTTTGAGAGAAAGAGGCACTAATCATTACTAATACTGAGGGATAAATTTCTATAAAAAATTCTAATAAAAAATGAATTATAATAAAAAATTCAGATCTCATAGCTGTTTGCATGATCTTAAGAATAAATATAAAATTCCAAATCAATTTGAATCTTAGTGCAAGTGAATTTCTAACCCACTTTAAAATTTTCAGCTGGATGATAAAAACTCGAATTTTATAATAGTCTATAATGAGTTCAGGCAGCGGTGCGATATATATTTATTATGTAGATAATTAATATATCATATAGCACTAAATTTTTTCGACCTTTAAAAATTTTTTAGGTATTTTTCTATTTTATCATTAGTAATTTTAAAAAAAAAAACAAACATTTGTTTTCAATTGTATAAAACATGAATAATATACAATAAAAAATTTAGGTCACCAGATGTCCCGTATTCCATGGCATTTTTATGTATTCTGAAAATGTTTTCGAGAGCGGCGAGATAGGAGACATGCTAAGAGTTCGGAAAATAGGAACTTATGAATGGATAAAACACTTCTGTATGACTTCGACTGATTTCTTTAATTTTTAAACTTTAAGTATAACTCAATGCCTGTATAAGACAGGCGCATTAATAATTACGATTTGGAAACTTCAGAATGGGATTTCTCATGAATATATTATAATATATTTATATATGATTTTTAATTTAATTGTTGTATATAATTATTAAGTTCAAATCATAATAAATTTTAGTTAAGACTAAAACAATTAATATTTTGTGTTATAAAAATTTCTCTTTGAAAACATTTGTTGAGGTAAAAATCTGGCAAGCCTAATAGTATAACCTCAGAATAATTACTTTAAATACTCATAGAAAACAATAATAAAACTAACATTTTAGTAGACATTTTTTAAATTCAATCATTTACAAACATGCCACTGAATAACTTGCTACGAAGTCTTACATAAAATAATGATTTTTTAACTATTTTGTTACAATTTTGCCGTACTTAATTAGTTCTAGTCTTGCAGTATATTTATAGTAAATTGTTGCTTCTTTAAATATTAATAATTAATTAATTATTTCTCATTCCACATACATAAACGCATGTATAGTAAGTATTGGCTCTACATATGTATTTAAATCTGTAATGTATAATAATAACATCATAAAATCTGAAATTCTAGTGAGAGTCGTTAAAACTAACGACATATAGAGTCGTCAATCTTCTAAAATCAAATGCAATCTTCGAACAAATTTTTCACTTAAAAAAAGGTTTTTGTAGAACAAATTAATGTACAAAGATTTCATTGTAAATTTATTGAATTAATTAATTTCAATTATTATATGGAATTCATAAAATTTTTAAAATAATAATTATAAATTCCAATATTTTTAATATGTAGTGCAAAGAATCTTATTGAAATTATAAAAAAAAAAAATTTAACAACAATTTAACAAAGTCAACTTCTTATTTGATTGACTGTCATTGTCAATTATCAATTATATAAGTATGTATGTAAGTAAATATTAAAACTAATATGCTGTTAGTGTGTTTACATTCACTATTATACAATTATATTTCTGGATTTTTCTTTAATCAAATATTTCTATTTATTCAGCAATACTAGAAAAAATAATCTAGTGCAGAAAATTAAAAAACAATTTTGTTTTTTTGAAACTGATGGAAATTTTTTTTTAATATTTTCAATTTCATATACATATATAAAATTTTAACATACATATATTTCAAGTCTACATGAGTTATTAAAAGTTCTATATTAATAAACACTATACAGATTCAGTTTAAAGTTGTTCAAATATTTTTTTAAAATTTTGTATATCCTTGTATATATCTCAATAAAATTTTATATATTTCAATTCGATTCATTATTATTTACTCAATTAATTAACAAACAACTTTAAATTTTATACATCATAACCATATGTACGTACATATACATATGTATATTTTATTAAATACCATATTTGGCTTCATTTTCTCTAGATTTTAACTACGTTTTTATCATATTTCAAAAAAAAAAAATAAGGAAATTTCTTCATAAACTACTTCATATACTTTAATACTTTATACTATATAAATTAAATTTTAATATATGTACATATATATTATATATAAAATAATTATTTAAATTTTATTTATATTTTTTATTTATTTTTACATACACATATTAATATATTTTAATTATAAGAGATAACTTACAGACTATTACATAATATTACATAATATAACATTCAAATATACTACCAATAGAATAAATGACGTAATAAAGAATAAAATCCAGCTAAAAGTCCACCAAATATTGGCCATCTATTATGATGACGATTTCCACTTGAACTTTCATTATCATTATCATTATTGTTGATATTATTATCATTATTATTTGTTGCATCACTTGATGTTAACATTGGATTCGTTTCTAATAGTTTTCCTTCTGTACCTTTATTATTAATTAATCCAGGCAATATTGGTGATTGTGGTATATATCCAGCTGTACAGAATTGCATACATTCATCATATGTTGCAAAATTATTATAATTTCCTTCGCAACCACCATATAAAAATGGTTCACAATCTGCTTTACTTGGTACAAAATAAAATCTTGGAAAAGCTGCTCTACATGGTCCAGTTTCCATTTGTAAATTACAAACTTAATTTATTTGATTAATTTAAAAAAAAAAATTAATTAATTATTTAGATACAAAAAAGAACCAATTTTATAATATTTTTTTAATTTTTAAATTACCATCACTTGTTGGTGTACCAGGTGGAATAATTGGAATACCAGATGGTGTTTCTTGTACAGCTAATCTTGGTTCCAAAATTTGTTGCTGATCATTTTGTTCTATCGGTGGAATTATAGGTGAATTAAAATCAACTTGTTCAGATTTTAAATCATCTGTATGATGATGATGATTATGTTTTCTATTGTTGACTCCAGTTTGACTTACATCTTCTAGTTGTTGAATATCCTGTATTTCTGTATTTAATGATAATATTGTCTTACATGACAAAATTATACAAAAACTTATTATTAATATTTTCATTTTACAAAAACAATATTTTTTTTTTTGAATAAATTCTGTAATAGTTTCACTAAAATAATTGTTATTTGTATACGATAATTTTCACATAAATTTCAGAATTATTAATTAATTAATAATAATTATAATTTAATAACAATCCACTTTGATAAACGTTTCTAAATGAAATGAAATATAAATTTAAATTTATGTTAATTTTAACGTATAAAGTTAAAATTCTCTCTTTCTCTCTCTCTTTTTCTCTGACTTGACATTTGAATATACAAATGAACAACTTTAGGAAATTTTATTATTTTTAATGAGGTGTATGGAAGCTTTTTGCACAAAAATGAAAAAAAAAAACAAAATTTTTTCCTTTATTTGCACATATTGCTCATTATTTTTAATATATTTTTAATTTAAATATGAATCAGAGTTGTCGTTTATGTGCACTTATATTTGTATATTGTATATGAGGGTTAAGATATTTCAAGTATAATACGGCAACCAAGCTAAAAATTAATACATTGCGCATATCAAGCACGTAAAAAAGTAAACATCACTCCCGGCTACTATTTGGCTTGTACGTAGTTGAAGCAGGCTATGCAATTTAGTACTGGTATAGTTAAGAGGAGTATTTACCTACATTTATTACGATATAAACAATTTCGATGCAGAAAAGCGTTTTTAATTCCACTACCATTAAATTTGAATTTGTTTAAAATTAGTTTGCGATGAAATTTTTAATTGCGATGGTAACTCTTTTGTACACACATGTTCATTATATCAATATTTATTTAATAAATAATAAGAATATTATAAGGTTAAGTTATTACTAAAATGAGAAGACATTTTTTTTGGGAAATACGTCAAAATAAGGGAAAATATAGTCTAATAATATTAATAAATTAAAAAAACATACAACGTATTCAATGCACGCGCACGTACATACCAATTATATTTATTTATATAAATATTTCCTATTTTTGTCATAACTAATCATACTTACTTTAAAAAATAGTAACTTGTTAGAATGATTATTAAAAAAAAATAATAAAATATTTAAATACAATATTCGTACAAAACAACAACAATTTTATATATATTTAAAAACTTTATAAACAGACGCATATACCCATTGTATTATTTTAGAATATCCCAATCACTCATGAAGTATTCAATGAATTTAAGCAATTTCATAAAATATTTTTGTTGAAAAATAATTAAACCAAATCACCTGAAACAATGAAATTTTAATAGTGAAAATAATTACATTTTTCGATATAAGCGTATGTGTATGTAAATGCAGGATAGTCATGCGATATTAATTCCGAAAATAATTTGGTAAACGATCTATAACTATACTGTGCAGCAGAACAGAAAGCATTAAAATAATTGGCAATACCGTGGCAATATTCTGGAAACCTGTTGTATACACAAAATTTACTTTAAACAATTAGTTCAAGTTCAGTGTTATAATTTAAAAGTAATAATATTGGTCATATTAGTTGCATCGATTGCACGTATGATTAATATTGTTTAATTTAGTCATTTGTAAAAATGTGTGGTTATTAGGTAGTACATGTATTTATACAAACAATTCTGTATTTTTATGATAATTAATCAATCTACTCGTATAATAATTGTACGTCACTAAAAACAATTTGGTTTTTTTGCCGGATATTGTAAATGATAATAATAATAAGAGAGAAACTGCAATTGTGAAAAGATCTTCACCACAATAATATATACGAATGTATGTATGTATGTATTTTAATTTTCATATCATAGAAGTTTTAAATAGAGAGCTCTCCCTTGTACAATAAATACTCTTTAATATATAATATTAGAAATTATAAATTAAAAGAGGAGAAATATAGCAATTATATGTATATATACATATGTCCGAATACATATACAAGTCATAAAATTATAGTTAAATTTTGATCTATCTGAAAACAGTTGAAACAAAGTTTGAATTCATTCATTGTGAGTAATAAAGTAAAAATTAATTATAGAAACAGAAGTGAATATAAGGTATAGGATTTTATTATACAACACAATTAAGAATTCCATTTATAATTCGTTTATTGAATATTACAAATAAATTTTATCTACTACATTTAAAATATTTTTTTAATAGGCTTAGTTGGCCATTCTAATAGGTTTAGTGGATATTTTGGCGAGGCAGTTGACGGCGTAATCGGCCCTATACTTCGAGCTGAGAGACATGTTACTGGGCAATCGACTATGCCTCTCCTGCCCTTTGGTTTTCGAAAAGATTTACCACTTTGATTCCACGTATAGGCAAACCTGATGTGAAATCGTGGATCTATCCATTTCTACATTAATGGATCCAAGTTGAATGACTGGGTTGGGGCAGGGGTCTACTCCGAGTAATCCGTCGTGGAAAACTCCTTCCGTCTGCCTAACTACTTTAACGTGTTTCAGGCGGTAGTGGTTGCATTAGGCAAAGCTATAAGACGGCCAGACAGCTATAAGACGTTGGATTCAGACACATTTACTTCTAGAACGGTCCGAGACTGCAGGTCGATATGTAATATAAACTTAATAATTTCTCCAACAAATTATTATACTTATAATGTTCTTTATAATTTAAATCATTAAAACAAGAATAAACGAAAAATGAGCCTAAAAATATCAATCCAAAAAACCAAATAATTATTTGAATGAAAACAAAATAAAATTTCGAAAAATCCTTGACCCCTAAAATAATGTTTACAAACTGTAAATTTATAGTAGTTAGATGAAAAACCCCCTACACATAATATTTAATTTTTACATTATTTACTATAAATAATATTGTTTTAATTTACTTACAAAATATATATTGTAGATCTAGTTTATGTTTATCATTTAGATAACAAATAATTATTACTTCCCTATATATATGTACATAAATATTTTACGGCAGTTATCACCATTTCAGTGAATTCTTTTGAACAAAGAAGATAAACAAAAAAATATATACATACATACATAAAAAAAATTATTATTGAAAGTGACGACGTTTTTTGTTTCAATGCAGTTCCATTATAATAAATAACAAAAAATAATTTAATAATTTGAAATTTACATAGCAATATTTAAGCGAAAATGAAAGTAAAAGTAAACAATACAGGTGTTATGCAAATTACTGCTAACCTTTACTAGATATACTTACCATAAACTTACTATAATATTTTAAACCAAAATACTTGTATATTCTTATCAAAAAAACTGTTTTGGTATACAATATGTGTGTATACAAAACAGTGAGCATGTTATGAATTTTAATCAAAACTTTAAAAGAATTTTAAATGACACCATAAAATTTACTTGTAATTTACCATTTATAATTTTTGTTATCACAAAATTTTATTTAGTTTAGTAAATTTATTTTTTATTTCAAAATTTCCGCCAAATGATTTTCAACATAGGTTATAGTATGGTGTGTTTGTGTTAAAAATTTTCTGTCTCACAATTTTTCATTATAATTTTCAAAATTATCTTACTGCTTTCACGTCACCTTGTCAAAAATTCTCTGACTGCTTTTAACATAATAACTTAGCTAGTTTTTAACATAATAATAAATTTTTACAAATTATACTATGTTAGCCATTTAAATTGAAGTTCTCAGATTGGTAATTTGAAATAAACCCGCAACAAATAAGTAAAACTTTAATGCATAGAATATGCTAAGTGATAACCATAATTAATTAATGTGATTTTTGGGTAAAAATCTTCCAATTGTAAACACGCTTTTAAGTTTATATTTTTGAAAATGCGCATTAAATATTTTCTTGAAGCAACTTTAAAATTAAATTTTTTTTAATTTTTATTATTGAATTTAATTAAAATTCTTGAATTAAATAATTATCATAATAATCATTATTTGAAAATCTTCTATATAAAATTTTATTATTGAATTATTTTATTTTAATTGGAAAATTATTTTAAACATATTCAATGATTAAGGTGATTTTATTTATAGATTTAATTAAAAATTTGCGAGATTTGATCAAAAATCTAAAAATCATAAAATTTTTTTATTTTTATAGAATAATTTGCATTAAAATAAATGTATAATTATAATAGGAAAAATTCATAATCAAGAATTTTAAATTATTTTAATAAATTAATTAAGCGAAAATCAAAAATTAAGTATACAAATAAATTCAATTTCAAATTCCAAAATACAATTAAGATTCTAATTTCGAATTTCAAATGATCTAGTTTTTCTATTTTTAATAGTTAAAATGTACTCCAATTAATTTGATATTGTTTTATTAATATATTCTTTTATTCAATTTATTTAACTATATTTGATTTCATTATTATTAATTTTTGTAAAGTTTTCAAATATTTAATTCAGAAATCAAACAAAAATAAATTATTTCAGAAATCTTGCTGACATTGAGACTTTGACTAAAAACTAAAATTAAGAAAAATATTACAATAAAAAACTAATAAATTTGAATATGAAATAATTACGCATAAACAATGAGTTGAAAAAAATGAGAATAAAGTAATTAAAAGTATAAGAAAATAAACAATTTTGGAAATTCACCACGGAAATTCACCACTACAGTAAAATTTCAACACAGCACCAAAATAAATTTTTAACATCAACAATTTGTTTTTGTTTCTCTTTTTTTTTTATTTTTATTTTTTATAACACTTACAAAAAAAAAATAAACGAAATTAATAAAAAATTATTTAATATAAAAAACACAAAACTTATAATTAATAGAATTATCCTACTATAATTAATTATACTTAATTTTAATTAATTAATTCTAATTTAATTTAATTAACATTTTAATTCTTATTAAATAACATCGCGATTTCTAGGTATATACCTTATATATATACATATGTATATTAAATCGCTATAATAAAATGGCAAACATGTGTTATACATACAAATTTTTCATCCATCAAAACTGCAAATTTCTTCACATTCTTCTAATGTTTTGAAATTATTTAAATTTCCACCACATCCACCATAATAAAATATTTCACATCGTTTTCGACGTAAATTAAAATAGAATCTTGGTACTTTTGCTCTACATGTACCCAAATTTACAGGTAATGCACAAACATCTTCATAATCTGAAAGTTTATAATATCTTATTATTAAAGCATAACTATTAAAATATTTTTTAAATTTTTTTTATTATTAAATGTAATTAGTGTTGAGGTTGAGGTAGGACTTTATGCGCCACTATAATTATTATTTAAGAAAACTTGAGTTTTGTAATTATTATTATTATTACCATCATTACTAATTTGTGCATTTACAATACTTATAACACTTATAAATCCGATAAGAACTATAATCAAAATAAATATTATTTGTTTTTCCATATTATTTCGTTTCAATTTTATTTTTAACTATGAATGGTATTCTTACAATGACTGCTCTTTTTATAAAATCATGTTACCTGAGGTAAATTCTATTATAATATTTTTGAAGCGCTATATGCATGAATGTTGATATTATTTTTTTAAATTGAGAAGAAGAAAATTTATTTGATAAACTTGTTATTTTTTGAGCCACTTTTTGAGCATATATTTCTTTTCACATATTTCAAACGCATGATACAACTACCTTGATATAACATTACATCTGTCAATCGTGGATTCTACACCCAATATGACATTTTATACAACGCGAATTGGAAGAAATTTATTTGTAATACAATATAGTTGCCTAATCATGTACGGCAGCTATCGGCAAAGTGGGGTTCATTCACTTCAATATGCAGCCCACAACATGTGTCCCAACATTCGGTATACAAATTCCATACAAATTTATTATTTGTCAAAACAAAACAACCAATAAAATCAATTAAAAATCTCATTTCTTCGCGTAAGTAAGTAATGCAAGAATCTTATCAGACATACTTATAGTCACATATAGTACATATTTGCCCATAACCCACCAAAGTTTGTTGACTGTTACTGATTGGAACTGGAAATTCATGATAGTTCAAAAAAGAAGATGTCATAACGTGATGTATTTGAAAATCCAATTGAATAATTTTGTTTTAAGCAGCCTTTCTTTCTGGTTACAGAAGCACCAACCAATTAACAATCCGATTTTCAAAAATAGATACACTAGTAAAAGTTTTCTTGGAATTACTATTTGTTTCTGCACAAGTACCTACACAAAATTTTTCACATTTTTTTATTTTCCTTTTGTTTTTCTTTTTGTTTAGATAATAGTTTCTTAATTTAGAGTACGCGATTCTACGCAACACTAGACAAACTAGTTTTCTTTTAGAAATTTTTCAGTAGGTCAACTTCAATACAAATTTACTAGCCCGTAAACAAAATAATTATGTTTAATTATTTCACTTTAATTTGTGATTTTCTTTTTTTACCACGAAGAAATCATGGTTCGAATTTTATTTAAAATTTTCAGCTCCATGGCTACATGTTTGTGCTGAGTATGACTTCGGCAGCTAGAAAAATATTTTACGATTTAAATTGCTCAAAGGAATGAATATTCAATGAAGATGAAAATCTCCTAAATTTGATTATTTAATTGGAGCAGACAGAATTTTCATATTGCTTATTGAACTGCTATTTGTAGTAAATTTTCAGAAACAAAATCGATGAGTAACTTAAGTGATCTTAGAATTTTCGAAATGTTACGATGATACGGTATTGATTAATCGATAATTAATCATTTCCGAATCGTACGTGTAGGCTTCGATTACTAACAATTACGATTCGTGTAAACTGTTTATTGATTCGTTGAAAACCTTAGTTTTCGAGAAGTTGCTTGCAATTTAGGCATAAATTTTTCGTTTTCAATATTTTTGATGTGTGAGCTTGTATTGTTTTTATTTTCAAGTTAAAAATATTTTTTAACTACTTTTTAATTTTTTTTTTCTTCAATTCATTTTTTGCTTTCTGATAAAACAAAATTTAACAAAATATCAACAGAATCATGTTTTTCCATCGTATAAGCTCTTTATATGGTTAATTATGCTTTAAACGCGCGCTCATTTCTTATTCGATAAAAAAAAAAAATAAAACAAAACAGAAATTAAATTTTATTAATGGCGTGAATTTTATCGAGCATTACAACTTTTGTACATAAATTTAAATTTTTTTTTAATTCAATTCGATTTTTAATAAAAATTTTATTCAATTTTTGATTGATTTATTGGCGATCGCGTAAATTTTTTCTTTTCTTTTTTGTTTTTTTCAAATTATTATTAGTTTTTGTTTTTGATTTACCATTTTTGTTAAATTTCTTCCGGAACATGAAATTTCCACGGAACCAAAATAAAAAATAGAAAAATATTATAGGTATTAATGTGGAAGATTTTCTAAAGTTAATCAAGTCTCAATTAAATATTTATGCTAATATTATGCAGAATAAAAACTAATTTAAAAAATAAATAGAAAAAAAAATAGTATTGTTTTGCACCACATGAGGGTAATCTTATTGTACAAATTTGTGGTTAAATAATTTTGATCTTATCAATTTTATATTTTGAATATGAGTTTATTTTGAATCGAATTATACTACATTTTTGAATTACAGGTTCGATTTATAAATAGTAGGTGCCCAATTTTATCAATTTTCGAATTTCGGATATAAGCATAGTACTAATTTTGTAAAAATTGTCAAATCTCGTTAAATTACTGTAAAATTTTTATTACAAAAAATAATATTTTTATAAAATTTTTAATTAATTTTAATAAATTTTTTTCAAAAATTTTTAAAATATTACAGGTGCTATTTACAGAACTAATTGGCCAATTCAAAATTAGGCTTGTAGTTAGGTAATTGGCTCTCTCTACATTATTGCAAGAGTTTAATCTTATAGATTTCATATAGACTATTGTCATATTCTCTCATATCAATTTGTGTATTATTGAGTAAATATTGGTCCGAAGATCTAAATTTTTAATTATGCAATATTTAAAAAAAAAATATTTTGAAAATTTTTCTACGTTTTCCTTTTGTAACAGGCACCTATACATTAGATAAGCAATCTAAAATTTTCATTTGTTTTCATATTTCCTATATAGAATCATGAGAAATATGTTATTTTAGACTACACGATCCGCACCGGAACTGAAAACAAAATCTTAAATAAATAAAAAATTATTATCAAATGAAATTCTATATCTGAGTTATAAAACTTTTGTTAAATAATATTATACGCTCTCTCTTTTTATGTTACTAGATATACTTACTTATATACTCACTGTTTTCAATTATTCAGAAAAATGCATGTACCTACATAATTAATTTTTTATATACAAAGTAACATGTACAAAATGTCACTTTCACATCACACCCCCTGCGAAATTTCAATTGATTGGAATTGTAACAAAACCTGTGTGTATAGTTTGCCAGAAATACCTAAGTGTTCTATATTGTAATCGATTTCTAAGATATTTTGAGAATTTACAGAACGTAGTTTCGGTATTCGGGAAATAAAATTATAATTGATTACGAAATTTTTTTCCGTGAATTAAAATAATCGTAGGCCCTTTAATATGCAAAATGTTTTCTTTAAAATGCTTAATATTTTCAGTAATTACTATATATAACTATTTAGTTATTGGGAAATGATGCATGTATTGCCATCAATATTGGGTAAAGATGCATGTATTGCCACCAATACATGCATCTTTATCCAGTAGAGCATTAAGAATATGTCTACCCAATCAATAATCTTCTGAATTTCTGATCATTTGTGAAAAATTATGAAATATATTGATTTTTCGCACACAACTACTATATATAAATACTACTATATTTTATAATAAAATCAAAAATCAATTATTAATAAGTAGTATAAAATATTTATTAATATTATTTTAATTAAAATTTTACATTTCACTGCACTACTTTACTTTTTCACATCAAACATTTTTAATCTTAAAATAAAATTCATATTTTTTTCGTTTTTTTTTATATATGAAAACTTAATTATGGCCATCTTCCTTCCTATATCAAAACAGACAACCAACTTTAATTACCTTGTACCACAAGCTTTTTCACATTCCTCTTTAGTTAAGAAATTATTATCATTTCCTTCACATCCACCATAAAAGAACTTGATACATGAATTTTTCTGATTATCAAAATAAAATCTTGGTTTTCTTGCTCTACATGGTCCAATTTCAACTGGTAATTTACAAACTGTGCGATTATATGAAAAAAAAGCAAAAATAACAAATAATTTAAAACAATTTACAAAAAAAAAATTTAGAGTATTCTGTTATACTATGCTTTTGATTAGCCTTAGATTGTTGAGCTTCAATTAAAAGTAAAATACTTGTAAAAATTATAAAAATTAACATTAAAAATTTCATATTTAAAGAAAAAAAAAAATCTTTTACAAAACTTAATGAGAAAACAATCTTTATCAAGTGAAAATCAAATCACGACTAATTCAACAATTTAATAAAATTTATTCTTCTAGAATATCTAAAACAAAAAAAACTTTCTTTAAAATATTAAAAAAACAAAATAAGCACAAATATTAAAAAAAAAAAACAGAATATCGGGATGCAAAAGAAATTTTATTACCATATTTTTTCTATATAAGATTTTCTCTGAGCTTGAGAACTCTGAAAGAGTTCTGCGACTCTGTGAGATAAGATTTTTTAATATTTTATTTTTATTTTGTTTTTTTTTTTTTATTACTATAGAAAGTTTAGTATAAAATATGCAAAATTAAAAGTATAATAAAATGTAAAGTTGATCGGTTAACTCTAGGATATTTTCAATTTAAAAAATATTTAAATAAACGCTATGGAACTGTCTTTACTAAGTTATGTTCTGTTACTTTACGAAATACGATGCACAAACGACTTATTGACTTTTACCAAAATGAAAGAAGTCTTCGCACAATAGGCCTGTCTTTTTAGGCTTCTAGCACTCAGAAAAAATTTGCTGTTCCTTTCTACACTATAACTTGGCCTCTATAACGGGTACTTTAACGGCTTTCTAAAATTTTATTTCTGTTTGAAATATTTTTCAAGGATTCATTTGTATTTATTTCGCAAAATGTAGCAGCTACTCTAAAAAGTATAATTGACAAAACTAAATTTATTTCTTTTTAACAGTTGAAGTATTCATAATCTTATGCCGCTCTGAAGATCGTTGAGTACAAATATTGTATTTATCTTAATTCTGATGCATATCTAAAAGTTCCGTTATATCTGAAGCACAGCTAAAGTTATAACGTATACTTTCCATGAGGACAGCCAAAAAAAATTATTTGCTCTTAAAAGTCCCTTTTCTTAGACCGGATTTCTTAAGAGTGCAACCTCTTAGACTGGTTGCGATAGAAGCCATATCAAGGCACAACTATACGTTAAAATTGTTATAAATAAGTGTGTTATAAACTGATAAGATGATTCTTGTAAACCCACTAAATAATTTTTAATACAATTTTTGTGTTTCTTTTCAAATCACATTTTTATAACAGAAATTCATTAGAAATTCTAATAAGCTACTTGTATTTTTATTTCTTGACTATTCTTAATTACTATTTTTATTTAACATTTATTTAAATTTAAAGAGTCTAAACTATAATTAAAGATGTTTTTGTATAATGTGGGCTACATAAGTATAGTAAAGGAAAGAACAATGAACTGAGGTTTATTATGACTCTAAAGCAATAATTAAAAAATTACCGATGATTCACAGGTTTAATATGAACTTGTAAGTTTGTATTAAGCGCGTAGAACTAAGTTCCTTTATTTACGAATGACAATATATGCTCCGATAATATTGAACGTATGTGTTCAGGTTCGTAGTATATACAAGCATGAATAACAAAATAATATCACCTGTATTAAACAGGTGTTTATTTGTGCTATACAAATTCAATTAATTGTAAATTATTCGTATGCACACAATTTAGTCAGAATATGCAAGTATGTATGTACTTAATATGTTTCTTAAATATAAGCATGGGGAATAACTTATGTTAATCTTATGGTAGTAAAAATAAAATTAAACTTAATTTGAATAGTTTCCTGATAAATTTTCAACAGTGTACTGAAAACTTGATCTTTCAAAAATAGAATAAATTAATAGTGGCTTAGGTAAGGAGAACATCCCCATTAAATCCCATTTTTTAGCAAGCAATTCTCAATTCAAATGCAATTCTGTTAATAAAAGTGGTTTCTAAACCAGTCATCTTTTTCTTTTGTTATTAAATTTTAATTTTCTAAACAAATTAGCCTTTGATAATTTCAAAAATGTTTTCATGCTTTTGTAGATTTTGTCCACTGCCTTTGCATTTCCTTAATAACGTTTTCAAATTGTCATTCGTTTCATTTTTCAAAGTGTGGTCAAGTCGTCTCAAGTGTTTATAATAATAACTGTACATGATATGGAACATCTAGTAATCCATATCAACATTGAACCGGTATATTTACTATTAAATGATCATCATCAACAATTTTAAATCTTATAGTTTCTTCGTATTGTATTTTTTCTGGATCTCGTTTTTATTATAATTATGTACAAATACTATTTCTCCTTGCCGTAACATAAGAGCACGTTTATCGTGCTCTATCTTATGTGGTGCATCGTGTATATATATGAGGTGTTTTTATATTTACATACATACTTCTTATACCATGCACATAAATGCCGAATAATGTTTAATTAACGCCACCTACAGTTCTATCTAAACACATTTCTTAAGGCACCTAACAAAACAAATAAATGTTAACATATATAACTATGTATAATTATTAAATTTCTTAATAGTCGAAATAGACCGAAAAAAAATTCTTTTTATTCAGTCGTCCATAGAAATAAAAACTAATTCAATTTGATCTATGTGTATAAAAAGCGAAGCTTATTATACAGCGCCATCTCTTTTGAAATAAAAATATATGCAATAAATATATTTAAAAAGGTTACTGTGTTCACTACTTTTTTTTTCTAAGTTTCTCCGGATAAATTGCGTTATCCTAAATTTGGATTGTGTCTTAGCTTTCGTTAAAATATTCTATTAAAAACATTGAGAATTCCTTTATTTACAAATAGAAAATAAAATTCCCTGTGTTGTTGAAGAAATTTTTTCCTTGTGTTGTTGAAAAACAATGTGCTTATGCTTCCTTCCTTGTAATTTTGGCACAATAATTCAAAATTTAAAAAAATTATAACTAATAATGCAGATAAATATGTATATCAAATAATCAAAATGTTTCTAATCATTCATCCGGCTTAAAACATGTCCGAAATGCATAAGGTTATTAATAACAATCTGAAATTTTGAAATTTAACAAATAAAATCCAAGAATGAATTAAAAATTTCTATTGATAATGCAACAAAATGCAACCAGAAATAATTAGGTGAATAAAATAGTTTCTGGTGCAATTATAAAAACATAAGCTAGAACATTTTATTAAAAGTTCAAAATCCAACTTCAAGGTGAAATTGCGTCATTATAAAAAAAGAACGAAGGAATGGACGAATATCTACAGAATAAGAAAAAAAGATGATTTCAGAAACAATCAACTTGTCATTGTTCCTATTAATTAATTAATTAAATATTAATGCTTGGAAAGACGTGAAAAAACAAAAAATAATGTCATCGTTCTACTAGGCGACAATATTAGGTAAATTACTTTTATAAAATTATAATCATCATTATCGCATCAGAAGGAATAATTCTGATTACATATTTCAGATTTTCAGGCATGAAACCACCAAGGAATTTGTCATCAGAAAGCAATTTTTATCTAAATTTACCAAACCACTATTCAGCCAAGTTAATAAGAGGTTAACCTAAAAATTAAATTTTAATTATGTAATTTCATCTTGGTTTAGGTAATTTTTATAGTTAAATATCTAGGAAAAAGGAGCATGAAAAGAAGAATAAAACTACATACTACGTATAATATAGACAAAGACAAAAGATTTTTGAAATAGAAATTAATGGAAAGCGGCTTTCGTAAATTCAAACATGCACTTAAAACTTAAAACTTTTCTTTACATAATTTCAGAACTAGAAAAATTATGTACTATTTTATGTAATATTACATAGTATACTTTCTTAGCATTTTTTTTCATATAATAATGATCTTTTATAATTAAAAAGATTTTGTAACATTTAAAAAAGCCTTTAAAAGTTCTTTAGAACTATAAGCACAGCTATAATTTTCAAATTTTTAGCTACATTTCTGTATTTTGCAGCTTTGTTTGTCTGAAACATTCTTTGCACATACTAAAATCTAAACCAATACTGAATTGACAAAAACTCTCGGAGATTCTTAGTCTCATCTACTTCTTTAAAATAAAATTAAAATATCAATTTTATTTTTTGTTTTTTATATTAAATTTCATTTTATTTATAATTTTTACAAAAAAAAAAAAATAAAACTTGCGTTTTTTAAAAAAAATATATTTATATATTATTTTAGAAAACTTTATTACAATTTAAAGGATATTAGGGGTTATCCTTATTATAAACGCTTTATTTTTCCATTATAATTTAAAATTTTTTATCAAATTCTTTTTTCCATTTTTTGTTTTTTTTTTTTGGAAGACTAATATGATCCTTTAAATTTCCCAAAAAAAAAAAAATATTTTATTTTTCAAATTTTTATTTTTTTAATTTATTTTACTGTCCTAATAAAATCCTTATTTAAATTTTCAATAATAAAAATAATAAAAAATATATAAAGCACATAATAATTATTATTTAATGATAATAAATTTGTTTGTTTGTTTGATTTTTTTTTTGTTTATAAAATGATTTTTTTGAGTAAATTTTTTATAGTACAATAATTTTATATTAATATTTTTAAATTTATAAAATAGAAATATGTAATATATTTATTTATACAATAATAATAATGGTAATAGTTATAAAAAAATATTTTTTTATTTATTTATTTTTTCATATAATTTTATCCTTAAAGAATTAATCACAAAACAATTTATAGTTTAAATTAATTATAGTTTTTATTAAATAAAATAGCAAAAAAAAAAAACAAAAATTTATTTTCTTTGTTTTATATACGTATATACATAAAATATAAAACACATTTTTTTATAAAATAGTAAATAAAAATAATATTTGTAAAATAATGTATTGAAAGTAGAAAGATTTTAAAATTATATGAAATTCTTAATTTAAATGTTAAAAGGAAATTAAAAATTATGAAATATTTTTAAATGAAATTTATTATTGAGAAAATTGATGCAAAAAAATATTTCATTTTTATATAACAAAACATATAAAAAATTTTATAATTAATTATATGTATATAAAGTACCTAATATTACAAAAAAAAAACAATAAAAACAATAATTTAGAATATTCGTAAAAATTTAAGGACTAAAAAATGTTAGAAATGTTAATATTGTAATTTTTGTTATTTTAGTTTAATTATTGAAGCAAAATTTTATTTTTTAAATGATTTTTGAATGATTTGTGGAGACGACGGTAGGTAACATTTTCTCTCAAAACGTAAAAAGATAACCGGTGATTAAAATTTTAAAATAAAGATCCATATCTTGACTTGTTAATTAAATATTTACTTATAATAATATAATAATCTTTTCTATATTATGGGCTATTTTCAAAGTGCTTATAATTTTAAAAATTTTGGTAGAACTAAATCATAGGCAATATTACTCTTCGAAGTGATTGGGGATGAAAAAATCTCAAACATGATGAAAGCATTTAAAGAAAGATAGCCAAATCTAAGCTGACAGAAATTTTACAAAATATTTCTGATTTCCTAATTAATTCATATTGATTCTTAATTCATAAAGTTATAAAATTGAGTACGGTGAAATGAAAAAGACCAGTAGATAAAAGACCAGTAATAACAATAGTATTTCATTTTGATGTATATTTTCAGTGTAGTGTTCTCTTGCAGCAATTCAACTAAATGCTTTCGTATACTATTTGGTTCAGCAAAAAAAAAAAAATTACTGGATGTTGAATGGTAAATTATAAAATCATGTCTAATGGAAAAGTTTTAGAAAAAATTTTAATATTTATATTAATTTATCTTAAAATATTAATGATAAATTTAATTAAGAATTTCAAAGATTAAATTCAAAGATAATTGATTTAATATGATGATATAATTTGTTTAAAATGTGGATCTTATTTCTAAGCCAAGATTATCAAAATTAAAATGAAAATAATTATAATTAATAAATAAAAATAATTTTACATTTTTTTAATAGTTATCTTAATTTGTTAATTACAAACATAAACTTTAAGATTTAAAAAGTAAAAATTTAGAATTAGGTAATAAGATTTTTAAAAAATCACAAAAATCACATTTGAAAAACAAAAAATTATTCTTTTTAAATTTTTACATTTATAATTCAATTTGTTCAATTTACTTAATAATTATTTAACAATTATTTTAAAAATTAAAAAAATTCTGAAATCATGGCATTAAAATTCAAAGAAATTGGCAATGTTTTTTTTTAAATTCATAATATTAAAATGCTTTTTTTATGTTTTTATTTAAAATTTATTGGATCTTTTATATGCATTTGTATTGTTGTAATGTCTTCAACCGATATAATTGGTATATAAAGGCTAGTATGAAGGCCCAGTAAATTTTAAATCAAATTTCTAATTAATTTTGATTCATTCAAAAATTACAATTAACAGAACTAATACCATTGATTTTAAATTCTAATACAGTTACATTAAACTATATGTAAAAAAATTATAGAATTTTAAACAATTTTAAAGAATTTTAAAGAATTTTCTCATAATATAATTTATAATTTTAATTTTTAAATCCAATAACATTATCATAATAAATATGTTTAAAAATATATTTTGTTTACATAAGTAGCGTCTTAATTTACATTTAATTTGGATTAACAAAATATTAAAAATAAAATTTAATGTTCCGATCAAGGGCTGTTCAGTGTGAACTTTAACATATTAGCTTCAAATCAAAATCGTAATTGTTATAATATTAAAATTTTTAAAAAGAATTATTTTTCATTAAGATTTCTGTGATTTTAATTAGATTTAACCTTCTCTGATCATTTTGATTAGTGGAAAACGTTGAAAAACAAAATTAAAAAATAAAAAAAAAGAAAAGCATTTTTCCAAATTCACATGAGATTTAAGTTAAAAAAAAAAAACAAAGCTTTAACCCTTTCTTTTTTTCACAATTTTTTAATTTCGTTAAATTTTATAATATTCTTATATAATATAAAAAATTATAATATTTTAATAATAAAAACAACAATATTTCCAGTTGACTATAATAAAAAAAAAAACTCTATTTATATTCATGTACAATATAAACAACGGTAAAGTAATTTATACACATACACATATTAATAATTAATTTTAATATGTACAAATAATTTTAAAATATTTTATATATGTATATTAACTATGTATGTATGTGTATAAATAAAGGCACAAAAAATTGCTTTTTTTATTTTCATGAGTTTGTGATTATTTAATTGTTTTTATATATTATTTTCATTTTCAATTTATGTTTTTTTTCTTTTAAGTATTAAAAATCTTTATCCCATCCTGAATTATCATCTGGTGGTAAACCATCTGGATCTGGTGGATAATCATCAAAATTCGATGTATCGATAACACTTTTAACAACTGGTATTATTGGTGGATCTAAACTGCGATTTTGTAAACCTTCCCAATAAAATCCGTCGAACCATCTACAAAACAAAAAACAAAGTATAAATAAAGAACTTCAATTAAATTCATTATATTTTAAAACATAGAAAATGTAAGAAGTGAAGTTTTACAAATCTTTTTAAAAATGCACAATTTTAAATAATCCATATTAGTCATTTTAATCCTCATTGAGTTTAACATTCCCGAATGAGGGCTAAAATGACCAAAAACTTTAATAACTAATAAAAAAATAAAAAAAGTTTTGGAATCTTTCCAAAATTAACTGTCGATTTTAGCATTATTAACGGTAAATTAGGAAATTTGAAAAATTTATGTGTCACCAAAAAATGACAAGTTGGGTTCTGTGTTGATTCTGTGAAAATGACAAGTTTGGTTCTCACATACTCTGTTATTAGTAATATTAATACCCCGATACAATTTCAAACTTACGCTTCAAAACTAATTAAACAAAAAAACGAAATAATATTAATTAATTAATTACTTATGCTTCTGTATTTCACTGATACCGCCACGTTGATAACCAAGACGTTCAGCTGGATTATCACGACATAATTTTTTAATAAGATTACTAGCATTTCGTGTTATATTTCTAGGAAATTCTATGGCATCAATTCCTTTTAATATTATATTATATGTTCGCATTGGATCTGATCCAGTAAATGGTGGTGTACCTAAAAAAAAACAAAAACAAAAACATCAATTTTAATAATTTTTCTTTAATTACATTTAATTATATACAAACCTGTTAATAATTCAAACATTAAAACACCTAATGACCAATAATCAGCACTAATATCATGACCACGATTTAATATAACTTCTGGTGCAACATATTCTGGTGTACCACAAAATGTCCATGTTTTACGACCATTTTGTAATTTTTTAGCAAAACCAAAATCAACTAATTTAACATAACCTTTTTCATCTAATAATAAATTTTCTGGTTTTAAATCACGATATATTATATTTCTAGAATGTAAATAATCAAAAGCTAATACAACACATGCTGTATAAAAACGTGTTGTTGAATCATCAAAATGTCCTTTATCACGTAATATTGTCCATAATTCACCACCCAAACAACTTTCCATTAACATATATAAATATTTACGATCTCTAAATGTTTTAAATAATTTTACTATAAATTCACAATTTGCTTCACCCATTATCTCTTTTTCTGACATAATATGCTGTTGTTGTCTTGTTTCAACAATTTGTGCTTTTTTCATTTGTTTTAATGCAAATGATCTTGTTTGATCACTATGCATTTGAACTAATTCAACACGACCAAAACCACCAACACCAAGTGTTGCAATAACACGTAAATCAGTTAAACGTACATCACTAAATTCTTCATTGATTCTAAAAGCAAAATTATATAAATTAATAAATTTGAAAAATAAAATTGCAATAAAAATTATTTTAAAAAAAAAAAAACATACTTTTTACGTTCTACAGTTCCTTCATCATCATAACGATGACGTATTTCATCTAAACTTGATATTAATTGATTAAATGTTTCACGATCGATTACTAAGCATGTAACACCCTCCGGTGATTCGCATATAATATTAGCGGTACGAAGATCATCACTATATATAAAAAATTTAATATTTTTAAAATTAAATATCGAAAATTTTAAAATTACGATAATAATAAATCAATTTACATACCCTTGTAATGCTTTCTCTCCAAAGAAATCACCTTTCCCTAATGTACGAATAAATTTCTCTTCTTCTGAATCCGGTTGACGTATTGTTACTTTAACACTACCCTTTGATATTATAAAGAATGTATCACCACGTGCACCCTGTCTTATTATATATTCACCTTGTTGATAATGAGTTTCTTCTAATACATCAGATATTTTTATAAGTGTATCTTCCGGTAAATTTTTAAATATTGGTACACTAAAGAAAAAGACATAAAGTAGAAAAACAAAAATTAATTTTTTATTTAAAGAGTTTATTTTAATATATGTTAATTCTAATGATCACAATAACATTGACTCATTGACTCAATTATACAGAAATAAAACAGAGAACGAGAAGAATTTCATATAATGTTTATTTCATTTCTATACTTCAAATCTACATCAAAATATCTGTAAGCGTTTTCCAAATGATCAATCAACCAATAAATGATTAAATTCGGAATTTCTTATAGAAATTTTTTTTTTTTTGTAAAATCTAATGAAAATATTCAATAGATGTCACGAATATTGAAAAACAAATACTTAGTATGTCAAACTGACAAACTATAAGTAATGCTTGATCTGAACTAAATTCTATTAAAATTTTGGTAGAAAAGCAAAATTTTTTTAATAATTTTCGGTTTTGTTTAGTAACATTTTGACTGGAACAAATTGACTGCAAGCATTGTTTGTCAATAAGAGAACAAAAACTCTTGATAACTTTATTAAATTTTTAATAATTTTTCTTCATGTTTTTTTGCTTTTTGCCTATATACCAATTTCATTCCGCAGCAAATTACTCTTGAAACACAACACAACATAGCGTAACATAAATAAGTAGAACATTAAAAAAATTCATTTTAAACGAAAATTGGTGTCAATCAACAAAAATTCGAAATTGAGGAATTTTCTGTCATTTTCAGTTTTATTATGGGTTTTGTGTACAAAAAACCAATTTCCATGTGATTGACTTTTGAAGGACGAACTTAACGATCATTTTTTTTTATATTTCAATTTTAACATAATTTTTACATCATTTTTTACAATTTTAACAGTAAATTTTTAAAATTTACTTTTCTGATCTACTTTTTTTCATTTTTTGCCATTTTTGATTTATTTTTTCATTCATAAAATTTTTTTTTACGAATTCCATGATTTTTTGTTAAGTAATTGGGTTTTCTTTCATATTGTTACTGGAAATATGTAAATAATGTGAGAAAAATCTGAAACTCTGAATAGCGTTGCCTTATTATTTAAAATAAAAATATGAAAAATTACAATTTTTTGATTTTAAATTATAAATGTGGAAAATTTACTTTAATTTTACACAATAAAACAATAATTTAAATTATAATAATTTTAAAAAGTTAAATAACATAATTTGGGATTTTTATTTAAAAATAACCTTCGCTATCAACAATTTTCCTACAGTATTTTTTCTCTTTTTTCGGTTTTTGCATAACAGTTCATAACAGGCAGAATATAATTTTAAATTAAATTATATTTCCTTTTTTAAGATAATGACGAATAAAATAAAATGAAAAAGAAAATTGTTTAAAATTGTGACAATGACATTCACAAATCAATTACCCTATACGTAAACATTGTAATTATATTAATATGTAAGTCAAGAATGTCAAAATCATACAAAAAAAAAGTTGTATAACAAAATAAAATGAAATGGGAAATTTCTGTTTATTTTAATTTTTTGTAATTTGGAATTTATGTAATCTTAAATGTATTGTTGAATTGTTAAATTGTCTTGTATAAGAAAGTGAAATTGTATACTAATTAAACCAATTTGTTGTTGACATACACCATGTCAAATTTAAGTCAATTGTCAAGTAATTTCCTTTGTCTAAATGCAAATTTGTATTTTACTTGTTAAATAAATCTTATATATATATATATATATATATATATATATTAAATATTAATTCCAGGGTCGTTTTCCCTTTGCTTTAAACACATATTTGAGGTTTTCATATTATTTTCTTAAAAATAAGGGCTGCGAATATTTTCAATTCAATGCAATGAATACATATATTTTTCTATTCCCTTCAGTTTACTTTTATTAAGTTTAATTAATTGGACGTTTCGGAATACGTTTTAGTTAAGTGAAATACATTTGTTCAATATTAAAAAATGAATTAGTTTCGGCGCTATTTCAGAAGTAAGTATTAAAAATTTTTATAATTTTACAAATATTTTATATTATTTTTTGTTAATTTTGACAACTGTTTATTACAAACTAGTATATGTTTGAGAGAATTAAATAATTAAGTAAAATCCGGAAATTTACATTGTTACTTAAACATTTTGTTGAATATTCTCAATTGAATCAGTATTAGTAAAAACTTTTTCTTATAAATCTAAGGAGTTTATTTTGAAAATTGTGGCAACATTTTTTCCAATATTTGGTTGAATTAAATTTGAGAATCTAATTCAGGCGAATTTTTAAAATATTGTTACCCTATGTCATCTGCCCATCATTCTGCTTGCAAGAAAAAAATATATTCGAATGTGACTATTAAAATTTTTCAAAAAATTTTAAGAACCAAGTCATAGATAACAAATATATGTACATAAAATTCCATACAAATTTATTATTTGTCATAACAAAACAATCAAAAAAGTCAGTTTAGAATGTCATTTCTTCTTTTAAGTGAATATAATGTAAATAAGTGTCCCATACCTATAATCACATTCTCATGCTCGTATTTGCCCATAACCCACAAAAGTTTGTCGACGGTAGCTCAATGTCTAATTTAAATATTTTAAAATTCTTGGAATTGAATAAAATTTTTCTTATCATAAAATTGCAGATGATGAAAAGAGTAAAATTGCAATATTTAATACTGTGATAAGTAAAATAGATTACCATAGACAAGATTTGTTCGTCTGTAAAATAATCATGTTTACTGCACCATATACTTATTAATTAGGTTTAAATTTTTAGATCCATAGTGTTTTCAAAAAAAAAAATCATAAAAAAGATTTACCTGGCACAGTTTATTTTGCATACTGATAGTCATAATCCACAATCCAATCTAAAGAAAAAAATTATTTTCTTAAATTTTTTTTCTCTCAACTACTACAATTCTTTTAATCGTGTTTACTTGCAATATTTTGGCAATTCGTGCACTTTTCTAACTTAAAATTTCTCTTGTGATAAGTGCATAATAAAAGACATATATGTAAAATACTAAAACAATATTTGACAAAATTATTTTTTGAAATTAATAAAAATTAAAATAGAGTTCGGTTTATTTTTAATTTATTGATCAGTTTCATTTGTTATCTTTTAAGGCATCCCTTGTACGAGATTTAATGTGTTAGATTTAAGAGCTCTTGACAATTTTTTGATTAAGACTCGCATATCTGCTTATTCGGATGAGACAGAAACAATTTAAACTTAAAATATTCTTTGAAACAAAAAGTTTATAGTGAAATATGTACCCAATTATTACATTGGAAATATTTTTAAATAATAACAACCTATACTCTGTTCGTATTACTCTGAAATACGAACAGAGTATTTGTACGAATATGTACAAATAAATCTCATTAATGTCCATCCAAAATATACAATTAACATTTATGACATAAATTTGAATATTTATAATCCAATAAAACATTGACCTAGAAATAAATCTCAGACATTTTAATTCTCTGTTGCTCTAAGGCTTTTTAAATTAAAATTGCTACAATTCTTAAATTTTAACTTTCACTTTTGAATTCCTTCAATTGTAAACTACTATAACGTTACGTTTAATATATTTGAAACATAATAATATAAAATTTTTTTCTTGTTCTTCAGTAATTTGTAAATAATCATAAAGATGAGATTACAAGCGTAAGTATTAAAACAATAAAAATCTTCAAGGCCGTTTGTTTTAAGTTACATTAAAAGTGTATAACAGTTTATTTTCAGTCACTAAGTATGTGTATAACATAATAAGTAAGCATATATGTCCATATACATAAATGTATCTATTGTACATGTGTTTATGGTATTGTATTGTAAGAAAAGAATTACTGGTATATAATTAAAATATTTTAGTACCTACTAACAGTTATTGTGTTATTTTTGTGCTTCAGTACCTACTCACTTACGTATAGTACCTACACTTTAATACTAAAATATTAATCTTCTTTCCGACATGTATTATTAAATGTAGAACGTGATCTGGTGATTAGTATAACGTGAATTTTTACGATAAATCAATATTTTTTAGTTTTTAAAAGTTGATGCAATTTTTAAATCAAAATTGAATTAATGGTAAAGGGCTTACGTTAAAAAACTTACTTCGTCACTTATTACATGTAACAAAAACGTTATTATTTTGTAACCTAAAATGCTATTAATATATTATATACATAACGTATGTAAAATAAGAATAATCTCATATTCGAAACTTGTCGTAAATGCATACTCGTATAATATACTACTATAACCGTATTGTAGTGATGACATACGAGTATATAATAAAAATATTACAAGTAGTAGCACAATCCGGAAAAATTCTTAAACAATTACTTATAATTTACCAACTTATTAAGTTTCAAATTAAATAGTTGGACTGAATAATTCATAATATTATGATTGCAGTGTTGCCGTAATATTCAATCAATAATGATAAAATGTGCATAATCTATAACGCTACGCAATGTCTCTTTGATTCCATACAGGAAAATTTCACTAAAAATATACAACATCAATATATGTACATATATATGCATGTATGTATATTGATGTTGGCAAATTAAAAAGTACATAATATATTTTTTTTAATTCGAATTTTTGGAATTATTTATGTGAATTTTAATATTTCATTTAGTTTCGCAGTTGTGATTCGAATCTCTAAAAAAAATTAATAAATTCATCCTTCTACTTAACTCAACTCATCAATTTTTTGTGTTTTTTTTTTTTTTGGTTTTTTTTTTTTCATAACAAACATTTTAATTTTAATTGGTATTCGGATTGGATATAGTGTATAGTAAATGAAAAAACAAAATAATATATAAAAAATAAATTGGATAATTTTGCTAAACAATAATATGAAAAACCTATTGTAGCAAAAAGAACATGACCGACGCCCGCATTGTACATATTCCAAATAATATTTATGAGATTTTCAACACAGTTCCATACTGCCCCAGAGAGTAATGAAAACGAATTTAGCTTCCCAATGACAGCCCGGTTATCCTTACTTT